CCCGAGCTTTCTTTCGCCGATAAAACAGCCGCGCACTGGCAGAGGCGTCGAGGACGCGACTCGAACGCGTAATGCCCCCCGCGGACTGCTTCCGGAGCGCCCCCTCCTCCCCGGACCTCGCGCCGTGAAGCGTGCCAAAAGCGCTCTCCGCGGCCACCACCCCTCTTCAAACATCTTCAAATTCTTTTTCGATTTTCTACTAGATGATACATTTCAAAGAATTTACTCTTAAATTACACTTACATGCGTCAGAATGCTTTCACTCTCGTGTTTGAAGAAGGGAGGCATAGGTCAGAATAATTATTGGGGGTACAAAACTGTCTGTAAGAGGCCGGCCGTCCGTGTTCCGCCCGTCCCGCCTAGTGGTGCCATTCTTGTTGCACCAGCCCACCAGCCCTACTATCCAACAATACTGGGCCTTTGCCCCGCTCTGCTCTCTTCCCCTTCATGTACGACGCTAGATCACCACTGGCAACCGAGCTGGCAACTTAAATCTGTGAATGCCACATGTATGTGGTGTGCATTCTAAATTTCCCCATTTAAACTAGTAAACGTGGGTGTTTTTGGAAGTTCTAGTTTCACACATCTATTTTTAGAGACCAAGCAGACGATGTCAGATACAACGCCCCACGCACCCAAAGAAACTACATTTTTGGCTCATCGGTTTGGTTTAAGTTTTCTATACCAATATTCTCTCTTCAACTTCTATTCACCCTCAAAATAAGTGATGACTAACTATGATTAACTATGTTATTGTTTTCAAAAATTTAAGCCTACCTACCTGTACCTGAGTAGAGATTTTTTTTTTTCGATGCGCTAGGTGCGCGGCGGCCGTATTACTACGCGATGCCACGCCTCGGATACAGGGAGGGCCCCGGACCTGGGCGCAGCGGAACAAGTCCGCGGATATCGCTGAGGGAGAGCGCAAGAGCGCGGCGGCGGCGGGGCTCCACCAAGTTCACCAGCCTATTTCAGCTCGACCTTGGCCCTGGTCCGTCCGGCGCGCTCGACGAGGAGCGGTGGTGGCGCGGACTCCACGATCCGGTGGGAGAGAGAGAGAGAGAGAGAGAGAGAGGAGAGAAAAAGAAAGAGAGAGAAAGGAGGAGAGGAGGAGCAAGTGCGGGTGCTCCTTCCGCCGTGCAGTAGCCCAGCGCCCCTCCCGCGACCCGTCTCGCACTGTGCGCACGCTCGCCCACCTCCCTTCCCCTTTCGCTCTCTGAAATGAATTCGAATTCAAATTCTCTCTCCCTTCCTATGAAAGTCCGCTCGACGATGTATACAAACTCAGCGACAACGACAACGCCTGCCCAAAACCAACCCGAGCGGGCCGCCTGCCAACCTGAGGATAGGCCACCCGCTTAGCAGTGCTGCACTCCACTTCCAGATTTTGCCTAACTGACAAGTGACAGGCGTCAACTACGGACGGATATTTTCCTCTTTCTTTCTTTCTTTCTTTCTTTCTTTCTTTCTTTCTTTCTTTCTTTCTTTCTTTCTTTCTTTCTTTCTCGATTGGTCGTGCCACAGGGACACACACACACACACACACACTCACTCACACACACACACACATACACACACAAACACACAAGCGCGCACGAGACCTCTAAACTTATGTGGACGGACAAAAATAGTAGGGCATCATGATGATGACAAAACTGGGCCGCTGCTGTAGCCTGGGTCAGTAGTCCACACGAGCCGAGACACGGGGTATCCAACATAAAGCGCAACCAAGCAGTTTCGGCTCCGAGTCTCGTTTGTTTTCTTGAACTGCAGTAAGTTTTTAAGTTTGTGTCTGGATTTTTTTTCCGTATAACGTATCGAACGGTGCAGTTGATTCTAGCTCTCTTCGCGCTCCACGCCCCCTTTCGATAGGCATCAAACAGCAACCTGTCCAATTTTTATTTTATTTTTCTTTACAGCCAGTAGAGGACAGGCATACTGTTCGCGTGGTTTTGATGGGAGACTTGGAGGGCGCCCTGGTGCTCAGCAGCCTTCTGGCTGGACTAGACGGCGCGCGTTTTCTGTGCATCGACTCCATGATGGCCGGGCTGACCCTCGCCAGCGGTACCGTCGCGTCGCCGAGCCGCCGCCGCACCGGTAGGGTTGGTGTCTTACTGGAAGGAGGCAGGATCTTGTGAAATCGTCTAGTAGCTCCGGAGGGGAGGCAGGGAGCGACGACGGCGAGTCCGAGTCCTCCTCAAACTGTAGCAACAAACCAGTTCGCTGTGAAATCATCATCGGAATACCCTCTCGGACTGGTGGAGGAGTATCCCCCCCCCCTCCCCTGGGGGGGCCTACCGCGTCGTGTGGCGAAGCTCTAAAAGCTTAAATCAGTGTACGATGTTCTGCCAATAGAGCACTCCAGTGCACACGTGCCGGACCCCACAGGAGAAAGGACTCCGTGCACCATAACCGATTTAATGACACCTCTGTTAGCTTACCACACCACAGCAGGCAGTAGGGTAAATTCGAGGGAGGAATAACTCCGAATTCAAGTGTACACATGATTCCCGGAATCCATAATTCCCGTTGATTCCCATTGATTCCCGTCGTGATTCTCATTGATTTCCGTGGGTTTCCGTCGTGACTCTCATTGATTCCCGCTGATTCCCGGGCCGGTGTGTACACGTGATTCCCAGAGTTATTGCCCCCTCGGGTAAATTGATTTAGTGGTCGTATACTTTATCTCTAGAGGCAGTTGTTGTTCCTTTCTTTGCCTTACTCTGAAGGAGCCGGTTTAAGGGGGGTGCATACGGCGACTAAGACTAATAAGGACACTGATACAAATGGAATCGCGACTAAGTCCGCTGCGGCTGCGCAGTTGGTGCAGCTGCCCCGCGTGACGGACGGCTCACTCGCGTGCCGCCAGTGCTGCCAACCACTTTGCCTGCTGCTGCTGTCTTTGACCGGAAGGCGGGGCGAGAGGCGAGGCTCGGCCGGCAGCGGCGCCTTCGTTTTGTGTGCATTCCACCGCCGCCTTGCCTTTG